TGTGGTTATGTAAGCCTTTATCTATTTTTTAGGAATGAACACTGAAGTCTTTAAGCACATCTGCAACTTCCTCTACAAGGTTCAGAAAAAATGGGGTGGGGGAGAGGGGAGAGGAAGAAAGAAGAGACAGGGAGGGAGACAGATGAAGAGAGAGTATAAAGCACACATGGGGAAAAGGAAATAATTATGAATATGGATTCAGGCTATATAGAAATTATTTGTACTTTTCTTTAAACTCTTCTGAAAGTATGAAAGTGTTTCAAAATAATATTAGAAAAAAGAAAAAGAGTGGGTAACTAAAAAGAAGACTGGGTGTTGTGGGCAGCCAGGGGGCTTTCCAGCTGCATCCTTCACTGTGGGGACCTGACTGGGTGAGATGGTTGAGGAGTTCCTGGTGTGGGAACTTTTGTTTTTTTTTCTGGAGGCTCATTGGTCAGTTCTATTGGAGGGAGGACCAGGCACCAACGTGGGGTGTGTATGTGGTTGCTGTCTTTCTTTCTGCTTCTAGGTCTTTGACTACTATGCTTAAAACAATTGTTTTATTAAATAAATATATTTTCTCCATTAAAAAACTATTTTTCTTATTGATTTCAGAGAAGAAGGGGAGGTAGAGAGATATAAATATCAATGATGAGAATCATGGATCAGCTGCCTCCCACTGGGGATCAAGCTCACAACCTGGACCTGTGTCCTGACCAGGAACTGAACCATAACCTCCTGGTTTACAGGTCAATGCTCAACCACTGATCCAGGCTGGCCAGGCAATACAGTTGTATTTTTTATTTATTTTTTTAAAAGACTCATCCTTATTTCAGCCACCTTTTCTCTTACTTCCCGAGGGACCAAGTGCCATGAACTCCTCAAATTTGAGACACTTTGTGGTGGAAATTAGGATGGTTTCTAGCATCCTTTGCTGTCAGCTCAGGATTCAGTTCTTTTGGTCCCGGAGTTACTTGCTTTCCAGCTTTCAGAATTTTGTTAGTATTTTCCTCCTCCCTCATTTCCCCCTGGGTGGTAGTTTAAGCCTATTAAAAATTCCTCCGACTCTCTCTTCAGTAGGGGTTACAAGTGTTCAATCCGTGGTTGGTAACAGTCAGACTGTGAATAAATCTCTCTGCATTCTTGATTACTTCCTTTGGATAGCATCCCAGAAGTGAAATTATTGGGTAGAGTATGCAGTCCTTTTGGAGGCTCTTGATAAACTTTGCCAATTTTTTTTCAATGGAATTATAGTCTCACCATGTTTCCATGACTTGCCTCTCTTCTTTCTTTCTTCCTTTTTTCTTTCTTTCTTCTTTCTTTCTTTCTTTCTTTCTTTCTTTCTTTCTTTCTTTCTTTCTTTCTTTCTTTCTTTCTTTCTTTCTTTCTTTCTTTCTTTCTTTCTTTCTTTCTTTCTTTCCTTCCTTCCTTCCTTTCTCTCTCTCTCTCTCTCTCTCTCTCTCTCTCTCTCTCTCTCTCTCTCTCTCTCTCTCTCTCTCTTTTCTACCTTGGGTAGAATCATTAAAAAAAACATACAACACTAAAATATGTGTTATTTTGACAAGGGAAAATATTCACTTTTGGCACAATTCCCCCTAAATAGTGATTTTTCACAGAGAAGCTCCAGGTAAGGGCCTGAGGCAGAAAGTAGGTCCCATACCCCCCCCCCTTGGCTATCCATGTCCAGGGAGCCCTCAGTAAGCCCCAAGAACAATCTCCGCTGAGGTTAAGGGGACTCTGTATTCTCAGGCGCCAGGGGCAAGCTTTGTGGTCATGCAACACATGCAGTCCTCCAGGGCCTGTGCTTAGCTTAATGTCATTCTTAATAACAGGATGCCCCGCATTTTCATGCATATTGAACCCACAAATTATGTAGCCAGTCCTGGAGGCCAAAAGGCAGTGGCTGCAAAACTCAGAAACAAACCCAAAAAACACAGGGTGGGGCAAAAGTAGGTTTACAGTTGTTTGCGGATTTTTTTCACTAGATGAAGTTACACATATGTTGATATATATTCAATTTGATATGTGCATGCTATTTTGTTGTATTGACAGCAAGCTTCAAAACTTCATATGTCAAATTTGCTGAAGGTGTTAATATCATAGATATTTTTACGCTTAAAAATGTTGAATTTCATGCCAGAAAAAGAGCATTTGCAGGAAGTTTTAATTCATTACTTTATTTTGAAGAAAAGTGCTGCTGAAAGTAATTATATACGTTGGGAAGCTTATGGCAAGTATGCTCCATCTCAAGATACTTGTGAATACTGGTTTAAGCGCTTTAAAAGGGATGATTTCGATGTGAAAGACAAAGAATGTCCAGGTAACTGAAAATGTTTAAAGACCAACAGTTACAAGCATTATTGGATGAAGATGTGTGTCAAATTCAAAAACAACTTGCAGAAAGATTAGACGTCGCTCAGCAAACAATTTCTGATTATTTACAAGCAATGGGAAAGATTTTAAAGGAAGGAAAATGGGCACCACATCAACTGAATGAAGGACAAATGAAAAATTGAAAAGTCACCAATAAAATGTTGCTTCAATGGCACAAAAGAAAATCTTTTTTGCATCGAATTGTGATGGCGCTGAAAAGTGGATTTCTTTTGAGAATTCCAAACAGCCGGGGCCAGTTTGGCTCAATGACTAGAGCGTCGGCTTGGGGAATGAAGGGTCCCGGGTTCGATTTTGGTCAAGGGCATGTACCTTGGCTGCGGGCACATCCCCAGTAGGGGGTGTGCAAGAGGCAGCTGATCGATGACTCTCTCTCATCGATGTTTCTAACTCTCTATCTCTCTCCCTTCCTCTCTGTACAAAATCAGTAAAATATATTAAAAAAAAAGAGAGAATTCCAAACAAACAAAATCATGGGTTGATCCAGGCCAACCATCAACATGGACTGCAAGGCCAAATTGTTTTGGAAAGAAGACAATGCTCTGTGTTTGGTGGGATCAGAAAGGTGTGGTGTATTATGAGCTTCCAAAACCAGGTGAAACCGTTACTACTGATCGCTACCAACAACAAATAATCAATTGAACCACGCTTTGATTATGAAATGACCAGAATGTCCCAGAAGACATAGCAAAGTGATTTTGCTTCATGATGCCGCACCATCACACACTTCAAAACCAGTTAAAGACACGTTAAAAGATCTTGCCTGGGAAGTATGAACCCACCCGCAGTATTCACCAGACCTTGCTCCTTCAGATGACCACTTGTTCCGATCGATGGCACATGAACTGTCTGAGCAGCACTTCAACACGGACGCAGAAGTGGAACATTGGGTCTCTGAATGATTCTATTGGGACAGTATCCACCAATTACCTGAAAGATGTGGAAATGTGTAGCTAGCGATGGACATTACTTTGAATGAAGCACTTTTGAGGTTTCTCTTGGAATTTTTGTGTTTTCTTGGATTACAAAATCCTCATTATTTACTGGTACACCTGGTAATACAATCAATAATAATAATATAAGAATAAACTGTTGTGTCACGTACTCACAACTGTAAACCTACTGTGCCCCACGTTGTACATGGTGTCTTAGTGTGTTGGGGCTGCTGTAACAGAATACCATAGACTGGATGGCTTATAAGCAACACACATGTCTTTCTCACAGTTCTGGAGGCTGCAAGTCCAAGGTCAAGGCCCTGGCAGCTTCAGCGCTTTGTGAGGACCCACCTCCTGGTTCAGAGCCTATACCATCTCAATGCGTCTGCACAGGAAAGAAGGGGCCAGGGAGCTTTCTGAGGTTTCTTTTATTTATTTTTTCAATATGTCTTTTTATTGATTTTATGGAAAACAAAGGAGAGGGAGAGAGAGAAACATCGACCAGCTGCCTCCTGCACACCCCCCACTGGGGATGTGCCTGCAACCAAGGTACATGACCTTGACTGGAATCGAACCTGGGACCCTTCAGTCTGCAGACCGACACTCTATCTACTAAGCCAAACCAGTCAGGGCTACAGTCTTCTTCTTCTTCTTCTTCTTCTTCTTCTTCTTCTTCTTCTTCTTCTTCTTCTTTTTTTTTTAAATTCTTTATTGTTCAAAGTATTACATGCTTCCTTTTTCTCCCATTCACCTCTCCCCACCTGTGCCCCTCTGCACCCCCCCCCCCAGCACATGCCCTCATCCCCATGGTGTCTGTGTCCATTGGTTAGGCTTATGTGCATGCATACAAGTCCTTCAGGTGATCTTTTACTGCCCCCCCAACCCCCTGCCACCTGCCCCTGCCTTCCCTCTGAGGTTTATCAGTCTGTTTGATGCTTCTGTGTCTCTGGACCTATTTTTGTTCATCAGTTTATGTTGTTCATTAGATTCTGCCTACAGTCTTCTTACCCTGAGGTGGGGTGTGTGTTGGGGGGGGTGGCAGAAGGGCTAACTCAGGGCCATGGGGAGCAGGAATGGGCCCCTTTTGTCTGATGTGACCTAACATGCTGCTGGCCAGGCCTCTCTCTCCACACCAGCCTCTGGGTCTCACCGGCTGTGTGCTACTCCCGTCTGTGTGCTTCTGAGCACGCTTTATGGCCACCCAGCCAGAGTCGGAGGTTGTGTGGGTGGCCACGCCTGGATCTTATTCTTTTTTGATAACCCTCCCCCGAGGATCTTTTCCATTGCTTTTTAGGGAGCGTGGGAGAGGGAGGGAGAGACACAGAGAAACATGGCTGTGAGAGACACACATCAATTGGTTGTCTCCTGCACATGCCCTGACCAGGCCCGGGCTGGGGAAGAGCCTGCAACCCAGGTACATGCCTTTGACCGGAATCGAACCCGGGACCTTTCGGTCCTCAGGCCGACGCTCTATTCAATGAGCCACGCTGGCGAGGATCCACACCTGGATCTTCTGATGTCCACCCCTGGCTCTTTGTGATGTGCCAGCCAACGGGGCTAGTGCCAGGGCCAGGGAAAGGAATGTGCATTTCTCTTCACGTCCAAAAAGGCCTTTCCTCCCAGACGTGCACCCATCCAACTGGGGAATGGGGAGCAGATGATGTGGTCCTTGCAGGCCAGCCAGGCTCCAGCCCCTCAGAACTTGTCATTGTACCTGCAGTCCGGGTAGCGGTAGGCAAACCTGGGGTCACACGTCCTCAGGGGTCTCAGGATGCTCTGGAGCTGGCCAGCGGCCTCCAGGACTTCGGGGTCTGGGCGGGCACTGTCCCCACACGTGGCCAGGAGGCCGTCTATCAGCTCCTGCACGGCGGGGGGGAACTTCCCCCGGAGGAGCGCGGGCAGCACCTGCCGGCACACCAGCACCACGCTCTGCCCCTCAGGCACCGCGTCACAGGGGGGCGGCGCCGCCTGGCAGCCAGTGCCCAGGCAGCTGAAGATGTCCTGGCTCTCCGCTGCCCTGGCCGCTGGGCTGCCTGCAAGAGGAGAAAGACAGGTCACACCCCTACAGCCTGTCCTCCTTGGCTGGGGGCAGGGGGGGGGGGTTGGCGATTGGAATGGCTGGGCCAGTGGGTGAGGGGCCCAGCACCTGCTGCCTGATATATCCTCCCTTTTTCCAATTGATAGACGTACGTAACCCACCTGCAGCTGGACACTCTGAGCACTGAACCACCAATCAGCACCTGCCAAATACTCTAAGCCCCTGATTCCTAAGTCCCTCGGTCCCTAATCATAGGCCTTCCATGAAACCACCAATCAGCATGTGCTGAGTGCCCTAAGCCCCGTCCCCTATCCTCCCCTTAAAAAGTGCTTGTACCCCGGCCCTGGCGCTCTTCCACCTCTCTCTCTCTCTCTCTCTCTCTCTCTCTCTCTCTCTCTCTCTCTCTCTCTCAAAGCAGCCAGCAGTGGTACTCTTCTCTCCAATAAAGCCTGCATCCTGGCCTCCTGGTCTCCCTCTGTTTCATCTTTCACTGTCACCGGGAGGTTAGGGCTCAGGGACACTAAGGCCCCACTGGGAATGCCCCCACCACCACCACCTTGTGATTCTCCCATTCTTCCTGTGGAATTAGGGAACTCGGGAAATACAAAGTTGGGAGAAAGAACAGGTAAAGCAGAACATGTATTCAATGGGTTGACATCAGTGGTTTACATATCCTGAATATTCTGGAATCAGCCTCATTTCTTTTCATAAAAGCAAATGAGGAAACGAGTTAGTGTGGCTCCGTGGTCGGCAAACTGCAGCTCGCGAGCCACCTGCAGCTCTTAGGCCCCTTGAGTGTGGCTCTTCCACAAAATACCACGGCCTGGGCGAGTCTATGTTGAAGAAGTGGCGTTAGAAGAAGTTGAAGTTTAAACAATGTGGCTCTCCAAAGAAATGTCAATCCTTGTGCTGTTGATATTTGGCTCTGTGGACTGAGTTTGCTGACCACTGGCATGGCTTAATTGACCTGTCTTTGTAGGCCTTCTCATAAAAAGTCCTGTTGCCCGGCTCATGTGGCTCAGTGGTTGAGCATCAACCTATGAACCAGGAGGCCACGGTTCCATTCCATGGTGGGCTTGATCCCCAGTGAGGGGTGTGCAGGAGGCAGCCGATCCATGATTCCTTCTCATCCTGGATGTTCCTATTTTTCTCTCTCTCTCTCTTCCTCTCTGACATCAATACAACTGTATTAAGAAGTTAAAAGAACAAGTCCTCTGTCCTCTCATTGGGCTCACAAATGCCTGGTTACCCTTGGAGACTGGGATGGTGGAAGGCCTGCAGGACCCTGACGAGCTGGGCACACGGTGGCGAACATGAGTCACTCAGAGACCTCCTGTGGTGCCAAGCCTTTTCATTGGAAACTTGACACTGAATTGGACACGGATTGCCCCTGTGCCGTGCCATGGTGCAAAACGCCCCCCCCCCCTCTGCCCCCTTGGACAAGGTCAAGGCCAGTTCCCCTTCGGAGCTGGACTTGGAGCAGGGATGCTAAAGGGGAGGAGGGCCATCTGACACGAACTTGGGGTGCTGTCACTGTGACATACGGAGACCGGAGAGGCCCAGTGGCACCACCCCCGGGCACCCCTCCAAGCTTCTGCCCCTCCGACTTCCCCCCTGACAGCTGCTCAGGGGCCCCTGCTGAGTACCTTCCTGCCTGTCGATGACTCCCAAGGCGCTGGCGTCCCGGATGAACAGATGGCCGTTGTTAAAGATGCCAAACATGGAGGCATCCACGCGGGTGAAGTAGAGGAAGTAGTTCAGGTCGTTGCTCCGCAGAGACTCCAGGATCCTGAGGAGCTGGTGGGCCAGGTCGGCCGCCTGGTCTGGGGGCGCAGTATAGAAGTCCCGCAGTGGGCTGGTGCTGGTGCTGACCAGGAAGCGGCCGCAGGAGCCCAGGTACTTGGGCAGCGGCCATCCCTCTGCTCCTGGGAAGATCTGCCAAGGCAGCAGGAGGAGGGGCATTAGAGGGTTGGAGAGAGAACATTCATAGACACGGCATGCCTCCTCTCTCTCTCTCTCTCTCTCTCTCTCTCTCTCTCTCTCTCTCTCTCTCTCTCATCTCTCTCTCCCCCCAGTGCCTCTTAGAACAAGACGACACCCCACCCCATCCCTGCCCCCTTTTTGTTCTTGTTTCAGATGAATAGATTTGGAGGAAGAAGCTCTATTGCCATGCGGTAGATTGCGCCTTCACAGTGTCCCCAAGAAAGATACGAGCATGTTGAGGCACTTGCCAGGATTTTAGATGTGTTTCGGATTCATGGGAATATATTTATTTTTAAGTGCTACACACTTGAAAAAATATGACTACTATTTGAGATTTCACAAATAGCACTGCTTAGGAAGAGGCCATGGAGGGAGAGAAGAGAGTCAACTTAGGATGATTTAAAATAAAAAATTTAAAAAAAATAACAGTGCAGCACTCGGCCAGCATGGCTCCTTAGTTGAGCGTTAACTATGAACCAGGAGGTCATAGTTCAATGCCTGGTCAGGGCACATTCAGTGTTGTGGGCTTGATCCCCGGTGTGGGACATGCAGAAGGCAGCCAATCCATGATCTGCTCTCATCATTGACATTTCTCTCTCTCCCTCTCTCTCTGAAATCAATAAAAATATATTTTAAAAAATCTTTCTGATTTTGGAGGAACTGCCAGCGCTGCCTCCTTCACAGAGCCTTCAGGGCAACCTCGGGCGGTGAGGGTGGCTGAAGGTTCCCTCCCATCCAGCTCCCACAGGCACTGACATCGCTTGGTTGCCCCAAGGCAGACAGTAAAGGGGGAGTGAGCTCAACCCAGGTGGCCCTCCTCAGAGTCCTGGGGAGGTGCCTGCATACCTGTAGGAGGATGGGGTGCGCGTTGACAGCCAGTGTGTAGAGCAGGCGCAGCTTGTCGCGGTCCGTGAAGTGGTCCATGAAGATGCTGCCTGCGTCGGCCACCTCAGCGTAGCGCCGGACCACGCGGTCCAGGAGGCGCTGTGATGGGCAGCGCAGGAGAGGGCTGGATAGGCCCTGCAGGGCGAGGGGGGAGGGTGAGGTCAGGGCATTGGCAGGCCCTGCTGGCAGGGGACATTCTGAGGTTGGGGGGCGGGCAAGTGGGCTGGGAGGAGATAGACTCAGGAAGGGGGGCCATGACCTTGTTCAACACAGGCTTCTGCCCCCAGATGAGGAACAGAATAGACTGGCAGAGGCGGGGGAGAGGGGTGGGGGTGGGGGATGCTTGCTGATCTACTACAACCGGGCACTTGGCAGGGGCCTTCTGTACAGGGTGGGACTGAGAGTGATGGGCGCACTTCCTCACAATCTATAAAGACACTTAGAAGAATTAATGATACAACTAACAGCTATACTGATTATGTTCTAAAAACTATTTATTAGATCACAAAACCTCTCAAATTTAATTTAAAAAAAATGCTGAGGTCATAAAGTCTCAGTGATTTTAACCCTAAACAAATCCCATGAGCCAAAGTTCAGTTGTTTTCAACTCTCTACGATTCCATGATTGTGGTCAGGAGGGGGGTGGGGGGGCTGGCATCCAGGCCATAATCTTTCTGGTTGGCACCAAAAACGCCCATCCATGGGCAGCAAGGGAATCACCATGACTACTTCGCAAGGGTCACTGGGCGCAAAATCTCATGATCTCGTGGTCACAGTGCACCTGTGAAGGGGCTGTGCTTTCCAGAAGACTGTTTGGCCAGAGGGTGTATGTTGATGTCCTGGGCATATTGCCCTGTGTGAGGGGCAAGGCATTTTACTTGCCTAAATTTCCTTTTCCATTCATAGTCATTTCATCTTTAACTTCCATGTTAGATGAATATGAAATGCTACAGCCAGCAGTCAGGTGTTTTTCTTTTCCCCATCAATAGAGCCATGCTATTTTTATTTAAAAATATTTTCTATTGATTACAGAAAGGGAGAGAGAGACAGAGAAACATCCATGATGAGAGAGAATCATGGATTAACTGCCTTCTGTATGCCCCCTACTGGGGATTGAGTCCACAACCCTGAGCATGTGCCCTGACTGGGAATAGAACCGTGACTTTCTGGTTCATAGGTCGGTGCTCAAGCATGAAGCCACACCGGCTGGGCTATAGCCATGTTATTTTTAAAGAACAAGTGCAATGTTTAGTCCTTGACCTGGCAGCCTGTGAGAGATGAAAATATTTATAGTCTGAAAACTAAGTGTGGCTCCAGTATAAAATATCCATTGTCATTGGAACACTGTATTACAACCTGCCTTGTGTCTGAACCAGTTGAATATGCCTCTCTCTCCCATTAGCAAGTCACTTCCCAGGGAGCAGGGGCCTGTGAACACCTTTTAAGTATTTTTATTTTTATTTTTTTATTTTTTATAATATATTTTTAATTAAATTATTATTTTTGTACATATACCTTTTAAGTATTTTTAAATTAAATTTAAACAAATGTAAATTTTATCTGTCTCCTAGTTACCTCAAACCCATATTCTGATTACATTGTTAATGTGCATTTTGGTTAATATGCTGATTTCCCTTATTCTATTTAAACAAATAATTGGGATCAGGGAAGTAAAATGTCAACCATTCTTGTTTACACAGAGCTTCCTGAACATGCTATACCGCCATCTAGTGGGAGGCCGGCCTCCGTGTCAATCAGACCCCCTCCCACCTGAGAGAAGCAGGGATTGTGTTTGGAACAGTGTGGGAGGCAGCTGGCAGTGGAGGGAGGGGAAGGGGGCACAGCGGAGGTCTGTGTTTCCCCCTGATGAGCCCGCGCTGCTGAGGGCAGTGGGAGGGCAGTTGCCGCTGACCCTAGCTTAATGGGAAGCCTTCTCTGCAGTGGTTGTTGGAACAAGCACATCAGGGCAACCTGGGCGGGTTCTTGGCTGCGTTTCTGTTTGTGGACCAGGAATTAGGCGTGAAACATTCCCATCTGAACAATGCAGCTTTTAGAGGCTAGAAGTCACAGCTTTATTAGCATAAGTGCCTCCTCCCCCCCACAGGGACACACACACACACACACACACACACACACACACACACATTGTGTTGCTTCACCCGCTTGCTAATTCCTGATCCTGGTTCCTTGGCAGACCTCAGCTGCAGCGCCCTGCCTGCAGCTAAGGAGGGCGCACGTGGCCCTGTGGGAGGGGAGCCACAGGCTCCCTGGCTCAGTCTCTGATGGTGGCAACTGGGGCTTTTTATCCAAGTTGGTTTTATTCCTGAGAACTGACAGTCAAAGTTCTGAGGTTCCTGAATCTGTTATATCCATCCTGCCTTCAGTGTTCTTTTTCTTTTTTAAAAATAGATTTTTATTGATTTCAGAGAGGAAGGGAGAGGGAGAAACATCAGTGATGAGAGAGAATCATGGATCGGCTGCCTCCTGCACGCCCCCTGCTGGGGAGCAAGCCCGCAACCCCGGCATGTGCCCTTGACCAGAATTGAACCTAGTATCTTTTAGTCTGAAGGCCAACGCTCTATCCACTGAGCCAAACCAGCCAGGGCTTCAATTTTCTTTTGTTTCTCCCCTCCTTCTCTCCCTATGTACTTCATTGAGCAAACCCTGTGAGTTTCTTCTCTCAAACACACACCGACACACATGCAGATATGCTCTCTTGAGGACTCTAACCTAGATACCTGTTGGAAAGTGGCTTTTGGGATTTGCCTATTTTGGACATTTCTTAAAAATGGAATTATACAATATTTGTGCCTTTGTGTCTGGCTTCTTTTATTGGCATGATTTTTCCAGGGTTCATCCATGTTGTAGCATGCATCAGTACTTTGTTTCTTTCTATGACGGGATAACATTCCATTGTGCGAATAGAACACATTTTGTGTATCCATTCATTATTTAATGGACATTTGGGACATTTTGGCTACTGGGAACAGTGCTGATATACATATTTATGCACAAGTGTTTGCTTAAGCACTGTTTTCAATTCTCGGGTGGATGAGTGAGTTTGCCTTCCCCCACTTTGTTGATGATGGATCTACTCAAAACAGTCTGCTAGATAGGTTTTGTTAAGAAGGAAAGAGCAGCCAAAACCGGTTTGGCTCAGTGGATAGAGCGTTGGTCTGCGGACTGAAAGGTCCCGGGTTTGATTCCGGTCAGGGGCATGTACATTGGTTGTGGGCACATCCCCGGTTGGGGGTGTGCAGGAGGCGGCTGGTTGATGTTTCTCTCTCATCGACGTTTTTAGCTCTCTATCTCTCTCCCTTCCTCTCTGTAAAAAATCAATAAAATATATTCTTTTTAAAAAAGGAAGGAAAGAGCAGGAGTTTGGATGCTACTTGCATGGGAGGGGAAGGGTGTAGAGCTTCTTGGTCATGCTGTGGAACCCTACGGCCAAGGGTCTCTGGAAAGGAGGACAGGAGATGGTGCCAAAATGGGACGGGACCTAGAGCAGGAATGTACTTTGTCCACAATTTATAAAACAGCTGTTAATATTTTTCTGTCTTTATAAGGAAGGGAAAAAATCTCTGGCAGGGATGAAAAGATGGGCTAGGCGAGGGTCAGAGTGAAGTGAAAATGGTTATAGCTTTGACTATGTTTTAACAAGGTGGCGCTAATGGATGCATTTTTGGCAGAAACAAGGAAGTCTTGTTTAGCTGCTGTTTTTTAAAAATATATATATTTTATTGATTTTGTACAGAGAGGAAGGGAGAGAGATAGAGAGTTAAAAATGATCAGCTGCCTCTTGCACACCCCCTACTGGGGATATGCCTGCAACCAAGATACATGCCCCTGACCGGAATCGAACCCGGGACCTTTCAGTCCCCAAGCCGACGCTCTATCCATTGAACCAAACCAGTTTCAACTTAGCTGCTGTTAACACTAGATGGTAAAGTTTTGGCACAACCAACTGAAGAACGGGACCCTCTATCACCAATCTCTGTGCCGGGCATTTCCATGCTGATAGACTTTTTGCAAAGTGTCCTCATATCTATAAGCTCATTAGGATGAACGGATAAATCTTGTTTAGATTTATTTCTGGTCACACGCCCCTGTCTCATGGCATTGTTTGGTCCCACTTTAGGGAGAACACAACTCCTTTTCCCCAGACAGAGATGTGGGATGGGAGTACACACCTCCTCCATCTCGCCCCCCCCCCCCCCCCCCGCCCCCAAGCCTCCAGACGCAGGACCAGCACGCTTACCTGCACCAGGTCTGGGGTGAGGCGCTTGGCCTGCAGCCATTTCTGGAACCTTCCTGTTTTCCTCAGGACACGCTCGATGCTGCAGGTCTTGGGGGCTGCGGCAGAGGCACAGATTCTCCTGTCTGAGATTTCATGCTGCTGTGTGCTGACCAGCCTCGCTATCTCCACAGGGCGCCAGGTTTTGGAGTCATCTGAGTAATTTGCAGGGTAAGAAGGCAAGGAGCCCAGAGGCAGTTGGACGTGGGTGGCCAGCCAACTGTCAAACCTGGAAGGAGAGCCCTTTTAGGATCCCCCTGGGAGAGGAAGCGGGGGCCAAGCAGGGACTAGTCACAACTCCGCCAGAGCCAGAGGCCAGCAGAGCCCCTGGGGTGGAGCCCGCAACCGGGGTATGTGCCCTTGACAAGAATCAAACCTGGGACCCTCCAGTCCCCAGGCTGATACTCTAACCACTGAGCAACACCAGTCAGGGCCCTTGCCTCCTATCATAAAATTGGTCCATATTTTCACTGCCTCCATTCTCCAAGGAAACAATCCCACTATCTGTGTGCTTGCTCCTCTCCATCCTATTTCTCAGATGGGAAATCTTGACCACTTTTCTGACAGCTCCATCTTGACTTCCTCTCCCATTGATATAGTTGGTCCACAAAATGGCTCTGTACCTGAACCTGCACAGCCTGCTGGCCCTGCTTTGTTACCAGGGACCTTTCTCCTGCCCAAAAAGAACTGTCTGCCAGCTGCTGCCAGCACCACTGGTCTCCCCTGCACACATCTTTTCATAAAGATTTTTCTAAGCACAAGTGTCATCTTGTCCCTACCCAACTTAACTCCCTCACCATGGCCTGTCATAGAGCTTCCCCAGTTCTGCTTGTGTCTGGGGGGTGGGGGAGATGAAGGCGTTCAACTTTCAAAATGCCTTAAAAAACAACAACAAAAAACTCCGGGCAATAACTACCATCTTACAAAAGAAGTTCAACACTTCTGTCCCGGCTGGTGTGGCTCAGTGGTTTAGCATCCACCTATGAACCAAGAGGCCACGGTTCCATTCCCAGTCAGGGCACATGCCTCGGTCGTGGGCTCCATCCCCAGTGGGGGGCGTGCAGGAGGCCGATGATCGATGATTCTCATCATTGATGTTTCTATTCTTCTCTCCCGCTCCCTTCCTCTCTGAAATCAATAAAAATATATATTTAAAGTCTAACACTTCTGATTATTATCTATTTGTTATTTTTGTTTAGGAACTTAGTCAAGTAGTCAAATATACCTTTGGTTAATACTGACTGGAAATAAAATTATTGTAAATTAATCTGTTTAGTCACTAAATCTTATACACCGGAGGCAGGTCCTTAGGGTTGGGCAGAGAAGACACCTATCCAAAGGGCCTTTGGTATTGAAAAGGCTGGGGAACCGCTGGTCTACGGGTAAGGTCCCAATTCCTGGCACAGCATTCAAGGCTCCCTGCACCATCTGACTCCTCCAAACCTCCCTCTCTCACGCTTCCGCGTTACACCCCATGCTCCAGTCACTAGCACTTTTCACTTCTTCCCACACCTCTGGGTCTTAATGCTTCGGTTGGGCCTTCTACCTGAATCCCTTCCCACTAAACTTCAGCTCAGAATGCTTTTCCCTGGAGAAGCCATTCCCCAGATCCCATTTGGAATCCATATTCCCTTCTTCTAGTCCCCAGAGGTCCTTTCCACTCCGCTGTTGGCCTGCATCAGGCCAGGCCTTATCATTGTTATTTATAACACAGCTCCCTCCTCCTACACCCCTGGAGGCCAGTGACAGAGTGCTAGCCATGTTGTACAACACCTGCCGGGTCTTGACCTTGGCCGTGATAAAGGCTCATGGACTGCATGTTGACAGGCTTGGCTTCCAGAGTGTGATCCCTTCTTTGATGAGAGCCATGTGCATTGCAATTTACTGAACTTGGCTTTTCCTCTAATCAAGGCAACAGCTCACAGCAGAAAGTGGTTCTGAACAAGTCCCTTAATCTTGCTATGTCTCAGTTTGCTATCTGAATAATGAGTGAAAAATGCTAACTCCCAGGATGAAGCGAGTATATAAAAATAGCTTTAAAATGTCTGTTACGGCCAAAACCGGTGTGGCTCAGTGGATAGAGCGTCAGCCTGTGGAGTGAAGGGTCCCAGGTTCGATTCTGGTCAAGGGCATGTAGCTTAGTTGCAGGCACATCCCCAGTAGGGAGTGTGCAGGAGGCAGCTGACCGATGTTTCTCTCTCATCGATGTTTCTAACTCTCTATCTCTCTCCCTTCCTCTTTGTAAAAAAATCAATAAAAAAAATATATTTTTTAAAAAGAATATGTTAGGAAAGAAAAAATGTCTGTTACGCCCTAGCTGGTTTGGCTCAGTGGATAGGGCATCAGCCCTTAGACTGAAGAGTCCTGGGTTTGATTTCAGTCAAAGGCACGTACCTTGGTTGTAGGTTCCCTGGCCCTGGTCGGTGGCGTGCAGGAGGCAACCAATCAATGTGTCTCTCCCATCGATGTTTCTATCTCTCCCCCTCCTTTCCAATTTTTCTAAAAACCAATGGAAAAATATCCTCGGGTGAAGATTAACAGACACACATAAAATGTCTGTCACATAGTAGGTTTTCTATAAATTTTATTCCTGCCCCACTCCCCCCTTTGAGAAATGAACTTGGCCAATGCCATAGTCCCAGATTACTCCCTTCATAGAAAAGCAAACTTTAAGTTCGCACTTCAAAAGGACACATTGAATTTAGCAATTAGGGCTCCAAGTTGGCTTCACACCTTACCCCCCTCTCCATCCCAACCTCAACCCATCGCTCCTCTGATTAAAGGGCTTTGCTTTAGCTCCATAAGTTACATCCTGGCTCATTTTCAACAAATTCCTGGGCATCTTTCACCACAGGAACAGCATTTCCCCCTCAGAGGGTTCTGATTGGGATTCTGACCTTATTTCTTCTTTAAAGAACTTCTTGCAAATAGACGTTCCGATGCAGGCATTGCATTTGTCAAGGCCGAGGACAGATCTTCCCAGACTGGAGCTGGTTCTCGGAGAAGGAGGAGCAGGCGGGGAGACAGCGGAGCTCAGGGCTGAGACCCAGAGCAGCTGAGCCGGCCAGCCCAGGCGGAGGGCAGCAGCCCCAGGCCCCAGCCAGGGCTTCATCGGGGCCCAGGCCGCCAGCTGTCCGCTCGGAGCTGTGCAGAGGCAGGTCTTGGCAAAAAGCAAGGGGGCTGACTTCAGAGCGTTGACCCCATCCCAGCCGCCCGGATTTCTGATTGAGGATGCTAAGGAGCTTGGAGCTAACGAGGTTTGGGAGGAGGTGAGGAAGTCCATGGAGGATGCTGATAACACGGTTTCCAGAGTTACTCTTCCTCTGCCTGCGGTGGCTGTCGTAGGCTGGGAGGGGCTGACTGGCAGATTTGGGAAAGGACAATGGTCAGGGCTTCCCTGTGCAGTCCTTTTGACAAACACAGGATATCCTGGCTGGGCAGGAAAAGTCCATGCAGGATGTACATCCGACCTGGATTCCACCTGGGAGTTTCAAAGGATCCTGAGGGCCTCCACCCTCCACTGCATTAATTCTGGGTCTGTGTGTCCCTGTGGATCACACACACACTCGCCAGCTCCCCCACGCTGCAGTGAGTAATTAGGCCTGCTCCTTAACCAGACATTCCTCTTCCACGCTGACCATATTTTGGATATGAAATAACCAGAGGTCAGCTTGCTGGCCATTAAGTGGCACAGTTAAGACTGATTTGAATAGCAAAGGCTTTGCTGCTTAGAAAATAGAAAATCTCAGTCCGTGCTTGCAGATCTGAGAAGAAGAGAGGGGAAATAATTTGGTGGCTTCTGGTTTGATGCGGGGAACACCAAAAAGACTCCTGTGCCTCAACTCAGCTGTGTTCAATCTCTTCTCCTCCCCGAGCCTGAAAGTCCCTCTTCCCTTTACCACCCTGCCTCTCTTTCAGTGCTGGTCTGATGTGGTGAGATTTAACTGCCCCAGGATTGCTTTCCTCTGACACTAAGATAAGGTCCACAGCATGGAGGAGACGGGGAGGGCTAATTTAGGAATAGAGAGAGCCTACGAGGACCAAATAAGGGCGGGCAGGTTTAGGCTGAGAGAAGGAAAAGGGGAGGTAAGAGGGGGCCAGGGATGGCCTCCAGAGAATTGGGAAGTTTAGCTAAAATTCATTTAGCTAAGTCATTCAGGGTAATGACTCTTCTCTGATGGTTAAGCAGATGCTTGTTGGCCAACTGTATGTCCTCCTCAGTCTAAAGTCTGGTGGCCTTTGTCTTTATTGTTGAATTATGAGAATTCTTTGTACATTCGACATACTAGTCCTTTGTTGGCTATTTATGTGGCTTGCAAATATTTTCTCCCAGGCGCTAACTTGTCTTTCATGTTCTTAACAGGGTCTTTCTCAGAGTAAAAGTTTATTTTGATGAAGTCCAATGTGTCCATTTTTCCTTTTATGGATTACTAGAGGCCCAGTGCATGAATTCATGCACAGGTGGGATCCAACTGGCCCTCCCCCCTCCCCAATTAAGGGCCAGACCAGCCAGGGAGAGGGGCCACAGGAGGTTGGCAGGCTGGCCCTGCCCCTGATCAGGGTGGGTGGCACTGATCAGAGGCCAGGGAGGCCAGGGGAGGAGCTATGGGCTGTTGGCCACTGGCCCTGACCCTGATTGGGGTGGGAGGGGCTGATCAGGGGCTGGGCCTGCTGGGGGAAGGGGCCGTGGGAGATTGTGGGAAGTTGATCGGGGCCCTGATAGGGCCAGTTGGCCGCCTGCCACAGTATGCACCATAGCAACCGGTCATTCTGGTCGTTCTGGTCATTCTGTTGTTTTGGTCGCTTGGCTTTTATATATATATATATATAGATGCTTTAGTATCAAGTGTAAGAACTCTTTGCCAAACTCTAAGTCCCAAAGACTCTCTCCTATGGTTTCTTATGTTGTAAACATTTTATAGTTTTACATTTTATTTTAAGCCTATATGCTATTAATTTTGGATTAATTAATTTTGAATTATTTTTTATAAGATGTCGCTAGGTCAATGTTCATATTTTTGCCGATGGAAGTCCAATTGCTCCATCACTATCTTCCATTGAATTGATTTTGCAATTTTGTAAAAAACCTGCTATCTGTATTTGTCTGTGACTATGCTTGCGTTCTCTATGCTGTTCCACTGATTTATGTGCCTGTTCCTCTGTCAATAACACACAGGCTTAATTATTATAAAATAAGGTAGAGTGATTTCTGCCACATTCTCAATTTTCAAAATTATTTTAGTGATTCTAGTTCATTTGCCTCTCCATAAAAATTTTAGAATACTCTTGTCTATATCTATAAAAACTCTCACTGGAATTTTGATAGAAATGGAGTTAAATTTATATATCAATTTGGATAAATTTATTCCTAAGTATGTTAGGTTTTTAAAAAATATATTTTGATTTTTTACAGAGAGGAAGGGAGAGGGAGAAAGAGAGGGATAGACAGCTAGAAACATTGGTGAGAGGTAAACATCGACCAGCTGCCTCCTGCACCCCCCCCACTGGGGATGTGCCCACAACTAAGGTACGTGCCCTTGACCGGAATCGAACCTGGGATCCTTCAGTCTGCAGGCTGACGCTCTCTCCACTGAGCCAAACCAGTTTCGCCTCAACTATGATTTTTGTTGACCTTTTCTATGGTTTCTACTGAATTTATTTTTAATTTTATTTCCTCTCTTCTGTTTACTTTGAGCTTAGTTTTTTCTTCATTTTCTAGTTTCATTGTTGAAAGTGAGATATTTAATCCCCTAGTATTATTGTATTATTGCCTCTTTCTCCCTTCAGATCTATTAATATTTGCTTAATATATTTAGGTGCTACAATACTATAATTTACAATTATAGTATCTTTTTGTTTTTTTTTTTTTTTTTTTTTTTTTTTTTTTTTTTTTTTTTTTTTTTTAAATCAATCTTTATTGTTCATATTATTACAAAGGTTCCTCATTTCTTCCCCCCTCCACCAGGTTCCCACCCCACCCTCTGCCCCCTCCCCATCCCCCATTGTCCTCATCCATAGGTGCAGTTTATGTTCAGTCTCTTCTTCCCTCAATTTCCCCAATAGTAAATCCCTTTTCAGATAGTAAATCAGTTACTTAGCATTTTCTCATATCAATAATACCTCCACATGCCCAATGATACACTTCACACAAAAGACATTTCCCAATAGGTCCACCAGCCTCATCCAGGCCCCACCCAAGGCACTCACAGATCAACACCCCAGTCCTAAACTAACTCAACACATCCAGATCTAAGCCTTCATCACTTGATTCAGCAGACCCTCAAGTTTCCACGAAAGTTTCCAGCCATGTCTGAGAAGCAGCTGTGGGGCAGGGGCAGGCAAGGAGCGAGCTGTTCTGGGCCTGGCTGCTCAGGGCCTGGCCTCTGTTGCTCTGGTTCGTTCCACAACCAGCTGCTCCGGGTCTGGTCACTGCCGCTCCCGACCTAGTTGCTCTGGACTTGGCTGCTGCTGCTCCGGGCCTGGCCGCTCCCAGCCTGGCAGCCGCTGCTCCGGGCCTGGCCGCACCAGCCCCGGCTGCTCCCCCGGGCCTGGCCGCTCCCAGCCTGGCAGCCGCTGCTCCGGGCCTGGCCGCACCCGACCCGGCTGCTCCCCCGGGCCTGGCCGCTCCCAGCCTGGCAGCCGCTGCTCCGGGCCTGGCCGCACCAGCCCCGCCTGCTCCCCCGGGCCTGGCCGCTCCCAGCCTGGCAGCCGCTGCTCCGGGCCTGGCCGCACCCGACCCGCCTGCTCCCCCGGGCCTGGCCGCTCCCAGCCTGGCAGCCGCTGCTCCGGGCCTGGCCGCACCCGACCCGCCTGCTCCCCCGGGCCTGGCCGCTCCCAGCCTGGCAGCCGCTGCTCCGGGCCTGGCCGCACCCGACCCGCCTGCTCCCCCGGGCCTGGCCGCTCCCAGCCTGGCAGCCGCTGCTCCGGGCCTGGCCGCACCCGACCCGCCTGCTCCCCCGGGCCTGGCCGCTCCCAGCCTGGCAGCCGCTGCTCCGGGCCTGGCCGCACCCGACCCGCCTGCTCCCCCGGGCCTGGCCGCTCCCAGCCTGGCAGCCGCTGCTCCGGGCCTGGCCGCACCCGACCCGCCTGCTCCCCCGGGCCTGGCCGCTCCCAGCCTGGCAGCCGCTGCTCCGGGCCTGGCCGCACCCGACCCGCCTGCTCCCCCGGGCCTGGCCGCTCCCAGCCTGGCAGCCGCTGCTCCGGGCCTGGCCGCACCCGACCCGCCTGCTCCCCCGGGCCTGGCCGCTCCCAGCCTGGCAGCCGCTGCTCCGGGCCTGGCCGCACCAGCCCCGCCTGCTCCCCCGGGCCTGGCCGCTCCCAGCCTGGCAGCCGCTGCTCCGGGCCTGGCCGCACCCGACCCGCCTGCTCCCCCGGGCCTGGCCGCTCCCAGCCTGGCAGCCGCTGCTCCGGGCCTGGCCGCACCAGCCCCGGCTGCTCCCCCGGGCCTGGCCGCTCCCAGCCTGGCAGCCGCTGCTCCGGGCCTGGCCGCACCAGCCCCGGCTGCTCCCCCGGGCCTGGCCGCTCCCAGCCTGGCAGCCGCTGCTCCGGGCCTGGCCGCACCAGCCCCGGCTGCTCCCCCGGGCCTGGCCGCTCCCAGCCTGGCAGCCGCTGCTCCGGGCCTGGCCGCACCAGCCCCGGCTGCTCCCCCGGGCCTGGCCGCTCCCAGCCTGGTAGCCGCTGCTCCGGGCCTGGCCGCACCAGCCCCGGCTGCTCCCCCGGGCCTGGCCGCTCCCAGCCTGGCAGCCGCTGCTCCGGGCCTGGCCACACCTGACCCGGCTGCTCTGGGCCCGGCTTCCCCGGGCCCGGCCGCTCCGAGCCTGGCCACTCCCGACCTGGATGCTCTGGGCTTGGCTACTGCTGTTCTGGGTCTGGCTGCTCCCACCCCGGCTGCTCTGGGCCCGGCTTCTCCGGGCCCGGCCACTCCGGGTCTGGGTGTTCCTGGACTGGCCACCCTGGGTTTGGCCTCCTCCACCTCATGCCTGGCTGCCACTGCCCCAGGTCTGGCTACTCCAGTGCTGGCTGTTGATGCTCTGGTTCTGGCTGCTGTTGTTCTGGTGCCTGGCCGTTGCTGCTCCGGGTCTGGCTGCCACTGCCTTGTGCCTGGCCACTCTA